CTGAGGTTATTAATATGGTGTTGGGGTCTGAATGGGCTGTCCTTGATTCCACAGTAGTCAGCTCGATAATATTTCCTAGAAGTTGGCTTCTGACCTTCAGAAATAGGAATTTGAAAATTTAGACCCTCTCACTGTCACCTCTGGGACACCTCCTCCCAGACCCAAGCTGCCCCTAGAAGTCCTACTGTGCCAGGATGTGTCACCTGGATCATCTTGGATCATTTCTCTTTGTTGCCTCATCCTTGGAGGCACTCGAGGCCATGCTGGAAGGGGCTCTGTCAGTCTGATCGAGCTGTAGGTATTCCTGTTTATGGCAGGAGAGTAGAACCAGATGACTTTTAAGGATCTCTTCTAACTCACATGATTTGTTTTTGGGAAAGAGCTGACACTAATATGCCCAAATCCTGTTCCAGTGTTATGGGTGTTCGGGGCAAAGCCTGGAAAGCAGGTTGTAGGTTTGGGGCAAAGTGGGGCATATCAGGGTGACGCACCCTAGAGCTGTGTCCCATCAGGGCTGGCATTGCTCTGGGACATCTGAGAGAGCCGGGATTCCTATAGGGGACCCATTCCATATAGCTGCTGACACCCTGTGGCTGTCGGGAAGAAATGCAGTGACTTTCTCAGAAAGGTTGGGCAAATTTGGGTTTGAAAAAATGTGCTTCCAGGAAAAAGAAAAAAGCGACTGTTCTTGGGAAGAATAAATAATAATAATGATAATAACAAAAAGGAAATAGATTCCCCAGACAGTTCCCAGCTGTGCTTTTTAGTGCTACTGCAGGGACAAAGGTGGCAGCTGGCTGGCCAGCAGCCTGCTTGTGGCTGTCCCTGTTCTGCTCCCAAGGCTGTGGGTTGAGGGCGAGCAGCTTTGAAGGGTTCCCAGTTCAGGAGATGGATGGGGGAGAAGTGATTGAAAACAGAAATGGCCAAATCCCCCCCAAAATAACTTCTGTAACTCTTCCTCCTCCTTGGTGTCCCTCCTTTTGTAGTTTGTTTGCCACCACTGCCAAGATGTTTCCTCTCAGAATAATATTTTCCCCTCTTTGTTTTCTTTCCCGACTGCCAAGAGATCTGTGTACAAACACGAGTTTCTCCCATTTATAAACAACCATCTATTCCTCTTCCAAGAGAGCCGAACAAAAACGGAGCAAAAATAAAAAAGGAGATGCACACTCGTCTCTGCTCTGCTCTGAAACACAAATGGGTGGGAAGAAGTTGTTGGCCCAGGACAAAATTAGCAGGGGAATAAGTTTTAGCTTTGAAGATGAGAGAAGAAACAGTCAATTGTCACAAAGAGAGAGAGCATGTCCCTTTAAACCACAAAGCCTTCAAAGATAGCCCCGAGTCCCAAAAATAAAGGCTGCACACTGCCTTCCTCTGTCACTCCTGGACAGAAATAGTAGTCTAGTGGGAACCATTAGAGCCGTGATGAGAGGAGTCAGTCTGCTCCGATGAATGCGGAGAGCCCAAAGGCTGCTCCTGGGGCAGCTGCTCTGGCTCTGGTCTCCATCACCCAGACCGACATTGCTCACAGAGGCAAATCTTGCACTGGGGAACGTGGCTTTTGCCTTCCAGCATGGAAATGAGGCACCTGCACTGATGTAGGATTGCTCCCCGTGGCCCATTTTGTCTCCTGTCTTTTGTCTCTCCCCGTTTTAAATGTCCCAAGGAACTGGGGGGCTCAGGCTGAGTTCAGGGCTATCAATGATACCAGTACCTCAGGAGGCCCTCATGTGGGATTTTATGGCACATCCATCTCTTTGTGACAGAGTTATGCCTCCTGCGTCCCCTATGGATGTGTCCCCCCCTTCTCTGGGACAGCTCGTGACCTGCTTTCATCGGTATAAACTTCCCTGAGAGTGCTAAAATCACACAGTGATGGACCCAGACAAAAACAAAAAAACAACAAAAAAGGACAGGATGAGCCTATCGATTACAGGGGGATGCTGGCTTTGGTGGGGTGTCCTAGCAGAGGGCCCCAAAGCTGATGTGGGGACAGTGGGTGGCAGTGGGACAGCAACTGCAGCTGCGCCATCTGCTGCACACACAGAGAACCTTCAGCCAGAAAGGAGTATTTGGGGCTGCAAGGGACCAAAAATAATAGACAGCCCATCCCCAACATCTTTTTTGCCCTCTTTTTTTTTTTTTTTTTGTGTGTGCAGGTATATACTGCAGGCGAAGAAAAGCTTTGATTTGGTGTGAGGAGGATTGGTTAAGCGACTATTTAAAAGTAGTTTTTGAAAAAAGTGGTTTAAAAGGGCTCTGCAAAATATCTCCAAGAGTATATGATGGTCTCCAAACCTGACATTCCTGTATTTTGTCTCAATTTCATAAAATGGATCCAATTTCACCACAACAAAACCTTGAAAACAGGGAAGGTTTTTCCTCAAAAGGAGACCAGGTTTTGGGACAGGGTGAGCAAGCGGTGATTAAGGTAGAGAGGCTGTTTCTATGCCAGTTCTCAATGTTTGAGATGTTTCAAGCCATTGTTTGGATGGAGATCAGTGTTTGCCTTGAAATGTGCTGGGTTTGGCATATTATATATCCCCAAGTTAGAATTTCACTAAATAACCCCCCATACCCTTAAGAGTATGAAAAAAAAAAAGCACTAACACAACCTGACAGTTGTGTCTAAGTAGTTTAAAGGAAAATAGTTGCACCCTCTTAGGAGGTTTTGAGGTCCTGTTGAAGTGCTGACACAGCTGCCCAGAGAAGCTGTGGATGCCCCCATCTATGGAGGTGCTCAAGGCCAGATTGGATGGTGCCCTGGGCAGCTTGATCTGATGGGTGGCAACCATGTCCTTTAGAACTTGATGGTCCTTAAGGTTCCTTTCAACCCAACCAATTCTGTGCTGATTTTCACAGTCCCCAGTCTACATTGGTTCCTCTATAGTTCCTCCTTCCACTTGCATGGGATAACCTTGTTGAGTTACTCCAATGCAAAGCTGGAGGTGATCACTGGTTGCTCTTAGGAGTGACTGCTGAAGCTGGGCCATTGCTTCAGTGAAGGAGGATTATGCTCGTAGACCTTTCAGTTACCAGACTGTGCTGAGAGAGGAGAGAGTGAAAGGGTTGATAAAAGGGAAGGAAGGAGTCAGCATTTGGAAGCTTTTTCCAGCAGTACAGAGTGAAAGGACAAAGCCAGGAGAGCCATGTGAACAGAGGGGAAGAACAGCACAGATGAAAGCCGGAGTAATTATGCATCTCAATACCCTCCCTCCCAGGCAGCACTTGGCAGGTATATCTGATCCTAGGGTCTTTTGTGTCATGACTGGCACTTGCTGTATTGATGCTGAACTCCTGACCTTGCCTTGTCTTGTGCTGCGACCTTATGTCAAAACTGCTTTGGGTAGAGTTTCACTGCCAGGGTTACCTTGAGGTCCCGGAGGAAAGTGATCCCTCATCTCCCATTATAGTGACACACTCTTGCCGTCTCTCCCAAGCCCATGGGAGGTAGATGAGGGCTATGGAGATAAGAGAGGATCATGGCCAAGGTATTCTTCTCTCACATTCCCATCACCAAGTGTGCAGCTGAGCTTTCTGAATGCTCCTGCCTCGCTTGATGTGTTCAAGACAGTGGGGAAAGACCCTGCTTGGGCTCCCTGAGACCCAGAGTCCTGAGACCCAGCTGTGTGACCAGCCTTTCTGAGAAGCACTCCTATGCTTTTTCCCAAATTCTGCTATTGAAGCACCAACTTTTAACGGTGATTTAGTAGTTACTCCTGTAAACTATTGGTTGATGTTCTTTATAAGACTCAGACGTTTTGGTCTCATGATAAACCTTCTGAGTCCTTTGATGGGGGAGCCCAACCTGACCAACACTTCTGTGTAGCATCTGATTCCTGTTTTAGCAGGCAGCCCCCAACCTGAATGGCTCAGCAAGCCTTCCTCCTCTCCCAGGAGTCCCCTGCCTCCATCCAAGTGGAATAATATGTCAGTATTGCCTGCTAAATCCCTCTGATTCTCTTAATAATCTCTTGATTGTGCCTTGTGTCTTGCCCTCCGTGCTGTACAGCTCCTTTAGGGCAGTTCCCAGCAGAACTCATAATCCTTTTAAGTGCACAGGGAGAGCTTTATTTCCTCCACAGGGTGGGCAGCTTTATCCCCACAGACCTGTGCTGATGCTCTACAGAACACAGAGTGTGGTTGGCTGGAAGAAAATCACTCCCTGTATTCCTCAAAAGCTAAGTTACCACCTTGTCTCCTTGTCCACAGAGACCTTGCACTGATAGTAATGTAAGCTGCCATTTAACTGTGTTAAAAGCATACCTCCTTGGTCATCATTTTAAAATTTGTCTGTGTTAGTTTTAGATAATTCGGTCAAAGTCTTTGCATGCACATTTGTCTAATCTGACTGATGTACAAGGAACGCCTGTGATTAAGGGTCTGGAGACACATGCTGTTCTTATGCTATCGGAGATAGCAATTACTTGACTTACACAATACTTTCCCCTTGAAGATTTCCAATACCAATCAATTTTTGTCTCTCTCTAGCTGTCTCTGGAGGTGTCAATAGTAATGTGCTGAGAGCCATGGTTGTGTGATCGTATGATCACCTGTTTTCCCCTGTGTGACCCTCTGAGCTGAGGACTGTACAGTGGTGCATGTCACTTAGTATCTTTTATGGTCTACTCTTCAAGAACTTCCACTTAACTTTTCCTGTAGGCACAGAAACTATCCCCCCAAAATGATCAAATCCATAGGTGGCTCAATGAAACACGTAGAAACTAAAGTACTGACAGGGCAGGTGACATCACTATGGTCATAGGGTCAATAAATATTTAAGATGAGGTTTAAGATTCCAAATTTTCCAGTCCCTTGCCTGTGTGGGAACTGTTGAGTCACGGCCTGGACCACTGATTGAGCACCTGGGGAAAGGACCAGCTCAGCCCTGGGAGCACAGGTGAAGGCACCTGTGTGACTAGAAGGGCTGGAGCCTGGCTGCACCTCTCTTAGAGCTCATTTAAGGGCAGGGTCTCTTTCTGGAGATTTCTTCCTGGTGGAGCTTTCCCCTACAAACCTGGAATCTTCTGATACACGTAAGCAGTCTTCTTCCCTTTCTTCATAGCACCTTTTTATTGTGTCTATCTCTCTGCCATTACACCCCTGGTGAAACACCTTTTTCCATCATACTGTTTCGTCTAATTGCTACATTGCCCTAATCTTCTAACCCTGGAATCAGATAAGGTGATGAAGAGGAACAGAGTGCATTCACTGTTATCAGCGCAGACTGACATGAGAGCATTCTGTGAGGATAAAGCAGTAGGACTCAGCTGAATGTTTTGGAGATCCTTTGGCTTGATGAGGCAAGATGCTGTGTAGAATGCTTAGGTCCATTTGGAAGATACTGCAAGCAATGATTGGTGGTATTTCTTTTTGGGAACACTAGGGATGCAGAGAAGGAAGACCTGAGAATTTGCTGCGTCTCTGACCAACAAATTTGTTTGTTTGGCGTGGTCTTTTCTGTAGTATTTTAGAGGGGTAGCTGTCTTTCCATTCAGTAGTGAGTAGGAACATTGGAGTTTGTTGCTGCACATTGAAGATCACTTCAGTGAAGTGATGTATGGCTTCTGTAGGAGAGGAGCAGAAATTAGTGGGGTCTTTGGAAGACAGAAATTATAAGAAATAGTTTTGAGTCACTAATGAAGAACTGGATGATGAGAGATGAGAAAGCCTTGGGAAGAAGGAGGGCTCAGTGAGACACAGCTGAGCTGAGATGGCTGCTCAGGGAGTTTTTGTCTTGCTGGAGGTTAGCTGAGAAGAGAGTGAGGACTAACTAGGGATTGGATTTGGGACTAATGCTGCTCATTCATTTCTGGATGGCTGGAAATATGTTATGTGTATAAGGAGAGACATGTCCTATGGTCAGACCTCAGACAAAGAAAAATGGACTGTTGGTGGGTTGGGTTGGGTTGGTGGGTTGGTAGATGAGAGCAGCCTTCAGTGGAGGAGTAGCCTATAGGAAATGAAGGGAATAGGCCCAGCCCGCTGCTGTAGGGTTGGGTCACTTTTCTGGCAGCTTGTGCGAAAGAGGAGAAAGGATAAGCATGGACCTTTGTCCCCAGATGGGCTTTCCCTTTTATCTAAGGCAATATTGGATGATAAGCTTTCACTCTTTCTCTCTATTTTTTTTTTCCTTTCTGTGGATAAACACAGATTATGAATGTTAGAAAAGCTTCAAGGGATGTTTTTTATCTGTTAAGTTCTTAATAGGTCACCTCGGCATTGAGAAGCCCAGGAGCTGAAACAACCAACAATTGAATTACAATAACCTCTGCAGAGCACAACCCCATCAATGGGTCTGGGGCCCAGAGATACGTGGGACCTCATTATCTTGACCTTAGCCCAGGGATGTTAACCAACAAAAAGCACTTGACAGAAAGGCTGGACTGGCTGATTTCCTTCTGAGGATTCTTCAGGTTCCCTTTTTCCCCCACATAATTCAGAAATAACACCTCTCCAAATTGCTGACAGGAATTGTTCCCAAGTCATCACTCCATCTATCCACACAAGCCTTCTGTGTCACAGAAGAATGAGAAAAGAACCCCAAACCCTGCGTTTCTCAGTTTTTATTTATGTGCTCATAGCACATCTTTCCATTTCTCTGCAGCCATTCAGAACCAGAGTCTGGAGCAAATATCATTGCAAGACCAGAGAACCTTACTTGACCAGAGGTATAATCTCTGAGATATGATTTTGGATTTGAGTTGTTTAGAGGAAGTGGTGAAAATGCCCAAATCCTCAGCAAAGCAGGTTCTTTGGTCTGCCTCTATTATACTGTAAAGGGAAATTGCAAATGCTGCTGCACATCTTATAAGTTATGGTTGATGCATGGAGCCACAGAGGGCACTGTGCCACCCACCATGTGTTAAAGGCTGTGTTCAGATCAGATCCTTGTGTTTGCTACAGAGAGTGGGTGCCTTCGAGGGGGATTTCATTTCTGTGCTATTCAGGTGTGTTCCAACCTTAGAATCTGCAGGTATGTGACAGTGCACTTAGCACACTTGTGTTCATCTTCACCTCATCTCATAATCACTCAGTCATGACTGAGTCCCCATGGCACATTGTTGGGTGCATCCTGAGTCCAGGCGGATGAGCATCACCACGTGCACGTGTCACTGGGTACCTTTGTGCTGCAACCTGTTTGAGCGTTTCCAATGTATGGTGTGCTACTGGGTTGATGCATGCTCTGCTGTGCCTCTGTAGGCTGCTGTGTGCCCTCCTGCCCATGTGTCCATGGGAGTGCCTGGGTCTTTGCATGCCTCTCATTGCCCAAGGGCAGCTGGCTTCCTCAAGTGACATAGTATCATGAAGATCTGTGGGTGTCTCAAAGCTCACTCCGTCTGGCTTCAGTCAAAGGGCCCATTGTGGTGCTGCTCTGTACCCCCCCGCAGCAATCCCAGCCCCCCGGGTCACTGCATTCCCAGCATGGTGAGATGAGCTCATCTCTGGGAGGCATCTGGGCTCTCAGCCCCAAGAACAGACATTTATAAAGGTCTTGTATTCCAGGTCCTGCCCACGTTGCCATCCATCTGTCTTCAGACCATCCCATAGGATTATCTACCACAGCTTCTGAGCAATCCCATGTAAGGATTTGTGCTCCAGGCCAATACTGTGTGAATATCTTTGTTTCTGGCCAGTCCTATTCACAGATCAACTTTGTTTTTATATGTTTCTGACCCAAAACCATGTAGAGCTTTGAGTCTGATAGTGCTACTTGTGTGAGGGGCTTTTATATATAGTTTCACTTCTGCTTAAGAGCTGACCAGAGTCATCAGTTAATTTGGGTTGTATGCCATGCAAGTTGCCACCTGAAGAACGTCCTTGTATGTTGAAGTTTCATTTTTACACTCCTTTCTTTTTTTGCATTTTTTTCTCCCTTATATCAATCAAAATCCACTCTAACTGAAAGCATCTATTCACATTTTTTGTATGAAGAACCAGGACTGCACAGTTGGCAGCCCTGCCCATGAGAGAGAGGTTGGAATTAGATGACCTTTGAAGTCCTTTCCAACCCAAGCCATTTTATGATCCTATGATTCTGCCACTGGTGGCAGTATCAGGGTAAATGTCTAAAGCTAGCCATCTCCTCCCAAAATGTTGCTGATAATGAAATTCCACCAGTGTTGGACAAACTGGAGTAGCTGAGCTTTTGCACTCTTCATGTCATGACTGTTGGCTTTATGTATATCTGAACTCCTGGCATGCTGGAAAACTAGAATAACTTTTTGACATGCAAGAAGATACAGATACTAAGTGCAGCATATTCTCTTTCAGAATGTTCTGTGGGATGCTGTTATGTGGAGGAGATGACTTCGTAGCTGTAAAGTAGCCATAGATGTGCTGCAGAGAGACAAATGCATAATCTGAAAGCGCCATCATACTGTGCATGAACAGTGTGACAACAGGATGGCTCTTGAGATGATTCATTGGGATCATAAATACCAGCATTCAGGAGCAGGGCCCTCACTATGAGCACAGAGCTTGGCTTCTGGTAATGTCAAATAGAGAATCTGGGGTGCTGGATAGAGTGTGGTAGGAAAAATGGATGAAGAGAGCTGTGTTCCTAGAGTGACTAAAATCTTGCAGTGCTTATAACCCAGGCACAAAGGATATTATGGGATCTCTGGAGATACCTGTGAGAAACAAGCAGAATTGTCCTGTGTTCCTCCCTTCTTTTTGCTCTCATCAATGATGGCAAGTCTTCCCCCTCCCGTAGTGTCCTTTCCTCAAAGCTGTCAGATGGACAGCACTTGCAAGAGCCTCAATAAAGGCTTGTGTACAAACTATGTGACTACAGTGTTTAAATGTCCTCTTGGTTTTGCTCAAATGCATGCCTGATGTAGGCATCAGATCTCAGAGATGCCACTATGGGTCAGCATGACATTTTCTAGGACATCTCTGCAGGCCAGTGCCTTTTGTTCCCTGCTTCGTTTTCCCTGGAGAGAGGGCAAAGCTGATTTTTTTTTTTTTTTTTTTTTTTCAGTCTCAAATGGCTTTTATTTTAGGTTGCAGGGTTGGGGTAAGTGAAGAGTAAGTGTTCCTGAAATATCTATCAGCAAGAGCACGTGCACTCCAGGTATGTGGGACTGAGGTGGCTGCTGTCAGGAGAGCAAGGGCCAGAAGTTGTGATGCCTTCTGCAAAGGAAGGGGAAGGAAGTATAGATGCACGGCTCTGGCTCTTGCATGTAGCATCACAGCCAAGTCCTCAGCATGGAGACTGGAGAGTAGAGGCCTCAGCCTCGTGCCATAGGTGAGAGCCAGCAGCCTGCTAATAGGTTGCCTGGCTGGGCTTGTTGCTGAACACCAATCTCTTGGCAGACCATTACCTTGAAAAACGAGCTCTGCCGAGCTTGCCTTGTGTTGTTACAAACTAATGATTTGCATTGATTAGCACGTGGCTCACGACTGTCTAATTTATCAATCAGGGAGCGCCAGGGGATAGTGTGTAAACCATGCTTTCAAAAATGATGTCATCTGTCAGTGGGTTCATGAATGTGAAAGCTGCACACACCTGACATACTCTCCCTGATGAGGGGTAGAAAGGACCCAGCCAGCTCTTTGTCTTTCCCCTGTGTCCAGGTCTGAAGCTTAAACAATTGCTATTTCAATTTGAGGTGAGCCCTGCAGTCCAGGCATATCCTGGCTGGCCACACTTATGGCTGTAATTATTATTTTTATAGTAGTGGTAGCAGTGATCATAAACCTACTGTGTTAGTTGCTGTCCAAACCAAGAACAAAAGTCTGGCCTTTTGTTTACATCTAATTTAGATCATAAATCCACTATGGCTGGGAGTTTCTCTTGCTATAAATGTTAGTGGGGAAATAGAGTGGAATGGCATGGAGTCACTTGCTATGGACCATTTTAAAAAAAAAAAAAAAAAAAAGGACTTCTGTCTGCTGTGTTCTGTCTGCTGTGAGTTGGTCTCCTGGCTTGCAGGATCCTCTGGCACAAAGCAGAAGGGTCATTCCAGTGTATCCTGCATTACTGCATGCTTGATCCATTGTAACTCAGTGCCCCTTAAACATCTAGCAGTGACCTCTAGTGAGTCTTCCCAGGAAGCAGAACTCTGAGGTTGGTCTCCTCTCCAGATTGCCTAGCATTGCCTCTGGTGACAGTGGCTGCCATCCAGACACGTTTGGATCTGGACAGCATTGAACACATGAGTGCTGTGACCAAACACTTGGTTTGTTAGGATCTTGCTCTCCATATGACTGAAGGTGCTCTCAGATCTGTACTTGGATGGAACGACTTGATCAACACAAGCAGCACCTCAAAGCTGTACAAGAGAAGAGAAAGGACTGCTGGCTGTTAGGCAGAAGAAAGAGATAGCTCGCCCCTTGCTTTTTCAATTAGTGTTTCTAAAAGCCTCTTGAATTGGTAGATAGACAGGATTATTGAAATGTCATATTTTATTAGAAATTGATCTCCTGCTAATAGGCTTTAGGCAAATTAGAATGGATTACTCTATCGGAAAACACATGGCAAAGCAGGGAAATAGGAGGAAACAGTTCACCAGCTCCTTCCCTGTCTTTGCTGAGATCAGTGCAGTTACATCATGCAACCCAAATCAATGGAAAAGCAGAAGTAGGTTGTCATCATGATGGCCTGATGTTAGATCATACTCTGCTGTGTCTTTGCTCCCTTGCCATGCCAGAAACTGCAGCCAGCAGACTGTGCCCACTGGGTAATGTTAGGTTCATAAAATGGGGAGGAACTGATATTGGAAAAGCAATGAAGTATTAGAGGCCCCTGTGCAGTCGTAAGGCTGTGGCTGGGCACTGCTCAGAGCAGCCTGGATTGATGTGCTGGGCTGCAGGGCTGCTTGGATCTCTTAGAAATGAGATTTGCTGATCCTTAATCCAATAGTAAGAAATAATGATGGTGATTTCAGTGAGAAGCCCTTGGAGAAGGAGATGCAGGGAGGACGAAGAAGAGATGCCTCAGACTATGAGGAGGACAGAGATTGTCCTCTGCCCAGCTCTGGTTTTCCCTATACAAGATATTTCTTTCAGAACCAGTGCCACTGTTTGTTCCCTTGCACCCAGGTGGAGGCAGTGGGGCCTGATTCTATGTCCTGTGGGGCTTTGTCTTTGAAATCCATTCTTGCAATCTTCCTTAATCACCTCCTCTGGGATCTGGGGCAATTTCATGGCTAAAACAAACTGTCGCTGTTACTTGAGCAGGAACTGCCAGAGTGCTGTCTGGAAGCACTGGGGCTGGCAATGATGAATTCCCTCTAACTTCATCAGCCTGGGGTCTGCTGATTCTGCACAAAGCAGAGTGATGGGGAGGGAAGTGTTGGCTGAATGAGCCATGGTTCACCAAGCTCCTCATCCCCTTAGTTATTCATTTAATTATTTGTAATGACTATCAGCCAACTAGACTCTGCTTCTGCTGTCTTCCTATCCAGCTGTTGTCTGCCCCGTCCCAGTTCAAATCTCAGGAGACTTGGCTGGATTTTAAGGAGTATATGGGGGTCTCACTTTCACTCTGCTGATGCTCTGAGAAGGAATATATGGTTTTAGAAGAACAGGAAACAGCTGAACACAATTGACATGGCAGAAGTGATGCAGACTTTTGCTGCCTCTAACAAGACCAACCTACTGGGGCAAGAAAATTGAGATGATGTGTTAGCAGGAGTGCTGTGATCGTTTTCATGAAGCCTGCTTTCGAAGAGATTCTGAAGGCAATTTTGAAGACAATCATTTGCCCATGCTTAAAATACTGCTGTTTATATACTAGAAAATCACAGAATCATAACTGGATTTTTCTTGTATTAAACAAGACTGCATTATATTCAGAGAATCATAGAATGGCTTGGGTTGGAAGGAACCTCAAAGATCATCTAGTTCCAACCCCCTGGCACGGGCAGAGTTGCCACCTACTAGATCAGGTTGTCCAGGGCCCCACCTAGCCTGGTCTTGAACACCTCCAGGGACTTATTAATGTACTCCAAACACTGATTCAGTCTGTGACATCATGCCATGCCTGTAACACAAGCAGCTTAGATGGCGGGTTTTAGCAGAAGTGGCATTCATCTACAGATCAGCTGTTTTACACTGTGATATTTGCAAATGCAGAAACACAGTTTAAGCTTTGCTGCTGATGTGCTTAGACCTCTTTCACAACTCACTTCTTGGTATGAAAAATAATGCTTCCCAAAAGTGACCATCCCCATCCAGCTTAGCAGAGGAAGAATGTACTACCAGAACTGCGAGATCCTCTGATCGTGGGGCAGGACCAGTGCTCTGGTCTGCAAGGGAGATGTTTCTGTTGCTCTGCTGAGATTGAAGAAATTTGTTTTTGCCACAACCATGGTTTGTCTTTCAGTAGTGAGGCTGATTGCTTGCTGACACCTATTACTTCTCTGTCCTCCATCTCCACTGTTTTTCTTTGGTCCGTTTGAGATTGCAGAGTCATAGAATCATTACAGTTGGAAAAAAACACTAAGATCATGTAGTCCAACAATCAGCCCATCCCCACCATGCCCTCTAAACTTTGTCCCATGCTTTAGGGAGTTTTTCTGCACCCCTTACTTCAATAACCACATGATTCCAACCCCTAAAACCCATGACCCCTTCTAAGAGAGAAGTCCAATTGGCCACCAGCTTGCAGAATCACAGAATGGCCAGGATTGGAAGGGACCTTAAGGATCATGAATCTCCAGCCCCCCCTTGCCACATGTAGGGAGTCTTGCCCAGAACATTTCTCTCCTGTTCTCACCATTTCTCTCCTGTGGAATCACAGTAGCTGTAGGGATCCAGATAAAACTGTAAGCATCAGTAAAATAATGGAAGGTATCTTTTACTTTCTTTCATCTTCCAGACCAATGGGCTCTTTGCCAGAATGCCTACAGGGCTAGCCATGACCAGCGTGGGAGTTCAGGAAAGACCAGAGCCTGTATCTTTAAAGATTAATAGTGTTGTTTGCTCATTAAGGAGATCATTTTGAAGCTAGCACTAACCAGAACATTCGAGTGCAAGCATCTGTTTGCTACTGGGAGAGGATATTTATTGTCTGATACTTCAATGGATGTAAATAAACAGCCAGACCTAGATAATGTTCAGACAAACAAACAAACAGCTGCCAGAATAGGTCCCCTGGCAGTTGACCTTCGGGAAGCATCATGCTGATGTTTTAATAGCAGCCAGCTTTGAAGAATGAAGCCCAGCAAGTGCAGCCTTCCGAGAAGCAGGATTAATGTGCAGTCTGAATGAGCTGATCCCCCAGGAGCTCTGCTTGTGTGTTGGCTGTGGGGCAATGGAGGGTTATCAGGGTGCTGGGTAAAAGGTGGTTGGTGTCAGTCCTATGGGTGGTGGCAGGCATGGTGGTGGGCTTGGTTGATGATTTAGAGTGCTGAGTAGGGCAGGTGTCCAGGCAATAGGAACGGGTATTCCAGCAGTGAAGGTGATGAGCGTGTTTGTGGATGAGTGCATGTACATCTGGCAGTGGTGGTAGTGGTGGGCTGAGCATTTTTGGACTTGCATAAAATCCTGGAGCCCCTCCTTCCTTTATTGCCTTGCTCTCCACCCTCCTACCTTGCAAAGATGCTACTGGTTCACATCCAGATTCAAGGAGAAATCCCTCTGGACTCTCACTCAGGCTCTAATCTCACAGCCCATCAAGAACATCTCCATTATAAGAGCATCCATACTTCAGTCAGAAGAAAAGTCCATCTGCTTCAGCACCCCAGCTCCATGCTTATGGCTGATTTCAACTAGTGAAAGCAAGAACAGAGGAAAATGCTGGTGTGT